TTTCTCGCGGAATCTTTCACAAAAAAAAAGGAGTCTTGGTTGATCTCTGTATAAATTCCTTTTCCGAGATTTTTCACTTTTAGTCTTACTCAAACATAAAGTAATGCTTTTTGATAATCCACTGCGACGATGCTATAAATCAATTACTATATAGTGCGTTGTTAACGAATGTGAAATACGTTAAGTAACTTTCAAAATTTGTTGATTTTAAAAAAATTCTCAGACAGATCAAATTTTTATGTAATGAAAGTTAAATGTATTCCATATACTTTATCAACGCTCTGAATAGACAGGGTGTCTGTAAAAGGTCTTTACAAAAACATACCACATATTCCTTAGACCAAAATTAGTCGATTTAAGTAAAATTACTTTAGTACAAAGTTGCTTCGTTTGGGCTCCAGAGGGCCTTGAAGTTACAATTTTTAAATCGTTTTTCCCATATAAATTTAAAATGGCATATGCGATTTTGCTGAAATTTGGTATATTGGTAGAGTTCTATGTGGCAAAAAAAATGGTATTAAAATTTTGTCCGATAATAATATATAAGTGTACAACTTGATTTTTTAAATAATTGCACCTTTAAAAATTCTACGCCAATGGAAGAAAAGGAGTTTGAGTATGAAATTTAGATTGCGCAACTCATTTACTTTAAAAAAGGTACTCTTAAAAGACTCGATTACTCTCATGGTTTTCGCTAAATTTTTCTTTTAATAATAGAGTGTATAGGTTTCACAAAAATATATATTTACAACATAATCAAAATAGAGATTTTACAAAAATTGTTCAAAATGTTCACCATTTTCACGCATACAAAGATTTCAGATATCCCCATAAAAAGTAGTCCATCGGTGTTAGGTCTAATAATAATAATAATATAATGTTTATTTACATTTATTTAGGTCTGGGGAACGTGGTGGCTAGTTTACAGGTGCGTCATTACCTCTGCCTATCCATTTGTGTGGATATTGTTCATTCAGGTGGTTTCTAACGTTTAAAGAAAAATGTGGTGGAGCTCCATCTTGCATAAACCACATATCTCTCCGAAGTTGGAGAGGTAAATCTTCTAACAATTCTGGCAACGTATTTTGTAGAAAATCCAAATAATTTTCTCCAGTTAATCTTCGTGGAAGTATGACAGGACCAACAATGAAATTACCAATTATTCCAGCCCACACATTAATTTTGAATTCGTGCTGAAAATGGTTTACCTTTATTGCATGCGGATTTTGAACGGCATAAACATGTTCATTATGGGTATTAGTTATACCTTTTCTTGTAAAACCCGCTTCATCGGTAAAGAGAACCTTCTTGACAAAGTTTGGATCTCTTTCTCTTTGCATATTAACAAATAGACAAAAACCCAAACGAATTTGAGGATCATGAACTAATAATTCTTGTACTGGCTTCTTATGGTATGGATATAGCAATTGTTCTCTAACCACTTTATGAACGACATCTTTACTTACTCCTAGTTCCCTTCCAATTCGTCTGGTGCTTAATTCTGGATCTTCTTCAACACGTTCTAAAATGTCTTCTTCAACTTCAGGAATCCTTACAAAACGTTCTCTTCCATTATCAACAGTGTTGGGAGCAAAGGAACCAGTCTCCCGAAGACGTCTCTCAACAGCAGCAAAAGTTAGGTGGCTAGGTACACGACGATTTGGAAACCTTTCAGAGTACACCCTGACACTCTCTCGAGCATTTCCTTCACAAAATCCTAATGTCAGTAACATATCGGTATATTCTGCATTGGTATATTGTACAGCCATATTAATAAACCACTCATTTGTTTTTTTAATTATGGAGTCAGAACACTTTCAATCGTTAACAAGAGATTAGGTGTTAAAACTTGACAATATTTTTATTTAGATGAAACTATGGAAACCAACAATAAATGTTTTTGTATACGTATTGCAGGCAAATAATTAATATGCCTCAAAAAATCGTACATGGCAAGAATCGAGTATTTTTGTTAAAAGTCTCGATTAGAGGTGTTGAAGAAGATATGAAAAAAGTACATTTTCATGTTTTTCATCGTATAAAATTTTGTCCGATAATAATACATAGGCGTAGAACTTGATTTTTTAAATAATTGCACCTTTAAAAATTCTACGCCAATGGCAAAAAAGGGGTTTGAGTATGAAATTTGGATTGGGTACTCATTTACTACAAAAAAGTGCCCTTGATAAAATACGATTTACTCTCATGGTTTTGACAAAGTTTGTATTTTAATAATTATTGTTTATGTTCTAAAATTACTGAAATGCAAATTTCGTCAGAACCATGAGAGTAATCGAGTCTTATCAAGAGTACCTTTTTTAAAGAAAATGAGTTGTGCAATCTAAATTTCATACTCAAACTCCTTTTCTTCCATTGGTGTAGAATTTTTAAAGGCGCAATTATTAAAAAATCAAGTTCTACGCCTATGTATTATTATCGGACAAAATTTTAATACCATTTTTTTGCCACATAAAACTCTACCAATATACCAAATTTCAGCAAAATCGCATATGCCGTTTTAAATTTATATGGGAAAAACGATTTAAAAATTGTAACTTCAAGGCCCTCTGGAGCCCAAACGAAGCAACTTTGTACTAAGGTAATTTTACTTAAATCGACTTATTTTGGTCTAAGGAATATGTGGTATGTTTTTGTAAAGACCTTTTAGAGACATAAGCGCGTTTGGCGCTATTATTGCTGACCACACGTTATTAAGAAATGCGCTCTTTTAGCCACTCGCTTATTATTCACGCACTTTTGAGGGCTAACGCAATTTTATGACGCGCTCTTTTATTCAAGTGAAGTTCCACGCTATTTTGTCCAGCGCTATTTTTAAAAGCGGTCTTTTTAACAGAGCCAATTTTATTCATCTTGTCACTATTCATCCTTACTAAGTGTAGTTGTCAAGGGTGGCTTCAGATATTGAAATTCTTGCAAAAAGAAAATGGCGAAAATTTGGCCTGGCGCCGCCGTTGGTAGTTTTTAAATTTAAATAAAAAGAAAAAGTAATATATTTTTGGAATAAAATACTTTTATTAGCAGAGTGACACACAAATCAAACTTTATTTTAAACTAAAAAAAAAGATAATCTTTATCAGTTTTTGAGTTAACGTGGATACAGGTATACATGCAGAAATAGGTCATCGCAAAAATGGTCAAAAAACCTCTAAAAGTAAAATTGAGCTGAAAAAGTCATGCTTTCTAGACTTTCCTTACGTTACAGAAAATTACAAATTTCCCTTTATTTTTTCAGATGTTGCTCACCTCATCCTGGATTATTGACACAGTCATAATTTTAACAAGTTTAACTTATCTCATCTATAAATATGTTACAAGAAAGTTCGACTACTGGAAAAAGAAGGGCGTGTATTATTTCGAACCAACTCCATTCGTTGGGAACTTCTACGAAGTCGTTACTATGAAGAAAACATTAGCAGAAACTCTCAAAACCCTTTACGATAAAACTGACGAACCATACTTCGGAGCTTTTACTTTCGATGAGCCTGTTTTAGTGGTAAAATCACCTCAGTTAATAAAAAATATTTTGATGAAAGACTACACTTACTTCAAAGACCGTACGATGGCTGAAGGAAAACATAATAAGATGACTTCAAACTGGTTAGCGTTCCAAAGGTACACAGCATGGAAAAAAACTCGTTCTAAACTTTCTCTGATGTTTACTTCCGGTAGACTCAAAAACATGTTACACTCCATTAACGATTCTTCAACATTATTCACAGATTACTTAAACGGTCACTTGGGAGTTTTAGAAGCTAAGGAGCTTTGTATAAAATTTACAACCGAAAGCACTGCCAAATGCTTTTTTGGAATCAATGGAAAATGCTTCGAAGACGGTCACAGCGAATTTAACGAAATCAGTAAAAGGCTTTTTGAATTGTCCGTTAGGAATGGCATCATCCACTCGTTTTATATTTTCAAGCCTTTCGTAGTGGATTTGTTCAGGTTAGATTTTATGAAGCAATCGGACGTAGATTATCTTTTGGGAGCATTCAAAACTAGCTTTAACAGTAGGAAGGCTCAAAAAAAGGCTCAAAAAGGAAAAATCGTGGATTATATTGATATTATGTTGGAAAATGAAGATACTAATGGTACTTCAGAGTCTGAATATGAATCAGGTATGTACCTATATTATGGTATTGCTACCATGATACATTAAATTTACAGTGTAGTCCAAACGGTGGGTGGTTTCTGTGATGTTCGTCCCTATCTACTAGGCATCGAAATAAAACTTCGTTTAACTCCAATAATTACTGTATTTATTGTAAATGCCGGAAGCCGAACTACACAACATAACCTCAATTACAATAGTAATGCGTGACTTTCTCGTTATGTGTGGTAAATCGAAGCTGGGTCATTGGGTTGTTGGCGTATACCTGCCAATTGAAACCGGTAGCGGAAGAGGGGGTAATGCTTGGGTTGATATACAATGCCCTTTCGGTTGAATACATTGCACCATCTTTTTTTTTTTTTTTTTGGAGTGAGGGTAGCCATATGTGAGTAGTAGGGATTAAGTGTAAAGGTTAAAGAAAAAGTCCTTTATTTCTCACAAAGTCAATTTATTGGCGACCGGTTTCGAAGTTGTCCTGATGATGAAGTGACAACTTCGAAACCGGTCGCCAATAAATTGACTTTGTGAGAAATAAAGGACTTTTTCTTTAACCTTTACACTTAATCATTACACCATCTTCCCTACAAAAAAAAACAATTACAATATTTTGTTTTACCTAATACTTAAATCTATCGGGTTCCTGGTCGTTTCATAGGCGTAGTTGCCGGTGATAAACGTACTGGTAGTCCAATGGGCGTAATTGGCTCTAATTCGCACTGAGCCTCTTTGTGGCTTTCTTCTTTAGCCACTTCACTAATATCACTAATATCGTGACAACTTCCCGACTCACGAACTACATCATGTAATTCATTTGTTATTTCCTTAATGAATCAACTGACAAAAAGGTCTGATCATGAACAGGATGATCAATTGAGTCATGTAAGGAACTAGTTTCTGAAAACATAAATTTGTTAGGATATAGGGATTTAATTTGGTTACTATGCCGTTTCCAAGTAAGTTTTGACTCTAATGTAATGACTAAATATACAGTTTTACCCAATATCCGTTTAATTTTTGCTTTACACCAACCAGGTTTAGAATTTCGGTAATCTTTAGCTAAAACTATATCATTAACATAAAATTCTATATTTCTTCTCCCTCTATAATATTTTTTGTTATTTTTCTGTGAATTTTTTAATTTTTCATCAACCTTAATCGAATTACTACCGTTTTTCTTATTGTTAATTGTTTCAGGTCTTAATAAATCAAAACGTGTTCTTAAGGACCGACCAAAAAATATTTTAGCTGGAGATACCCCTGAAGAGCAATGGACAGTGTTTCTATAAATTAGTAGAAATTTTGATAGGGAAATATTAATATTTTTTTTATCAATTTCTTTAAGTAGGAAGTTTTTTACAGTTTTGACACTGTTCTCTGCAGCTCCATTGCAATGTGCTCCGTATGGGAGTATAGTAATATGCTTAATACCATTCTATTTGACAAAATGTTTAAATTCGTCTGCCGTGAGTTGAGGGCCATTGTCACTACATAACATTTTTGGAAGACCATACCTTGCAAATAATTCTCTTAGCTTAAAAATTGTCATAGCTGATGTAATTGAATTCATATGGAATACCTCCAACTATTTGGAATATGCATCTAAAACGATTAGGAAATTATTTTTGGAAGCTTCAAAGAAATCTATATGTACTCTAGACCACACTCCATCTGGTACAGGCCAGCCTTGTAAGGCAACTTTAGGGGGATTATTTTGAAGATTATTGCAATTATCACAAGTTTTTATAATGTCCTCAATCTGCGCGTTTAATGAAGGCCACCAGAGATAACACCTAGCTCATTTTAACTATTCCTAAATGTGTACTATGCAATTCTATCAACATATTTTTTTGAAGACTTTGGGGTATTATAACTCTATATCCCTAAAGTAGCACATCATCTTCCACGTGAATCTCGTTTTTAATTCGGAAGTAAGGTTTAACTTCCTGAATATTGTCTGGCCATTTTGTCACAGCATACTGTAAAATAAGAGATAAGACAGGGTCCTTTTTTGTTTCTACCTGTATTTGTTTTACATCAATAGGCAGTTCTGATGCCGATACATAATTTAAATTTATATTTTTTGTTAAGTCATCCAGCTCTATGTTGCCACCAGTTTCCTGAGGCAATCTACTCAAAAAATCTGCAATATTTTGTATAGTATTAACATAGTTAATTGTAAAATCAAAACCTGATAAAAAATTGGCATATCTTTCAAGACGGGTTGCTGCCATTGTTGGAATCCCCTTTTTAGGACCAAAAATAGTCACTAGTGCCTTATTATCGGTATTTAAAATAAATTTCCTACCGTACAGATACTGGTAAAAATATTTAACTCCCCAAATAATAGCAGTCGCTTCTTTGTCTAAATTTAAATAATTTTTTTCCGCATTCGACAGCGTTTTTGAGGCATAATAAATTAGGCGCTCGATGCCGTTTTCAAACATGTGCGAAATAACCGCACCAATTCCATAATCTGAACTATCCACTGTTAAGATTAGTTCCAGTTCGAGATTGTAGTGTACTAGCAAGTCTGAAGAGCACAATGCATCTTTAATAGCCAAAAAAGCTTTTCTACATGCATCATCCCACTTCCAAACAATATTTTTCTATCAGGAATGTTTTTAATAAGGCGGTTATAATAATTAACTGTACCTAAAAAAGCCTTGAGCTGTGTATTGCCTTAACTTTTTCAGAAGATTTATGTAAACCTATTTCATCTATAACAAATCCTAAATATGCAATGGAGTCAGAAAAGAATGTGCACTTTTCTCTTTTTAGGGATAACCCACAATCTTGTAGGTAATTTAAAACCATTCGTAAATTTTTAAGATGTTCCCTCTTAGTTTTTCCTGTGATTAGTATATCATCTAAGAACACGCAAACCCCCTTGAAATTAGTAAAAATTTGTTCCATGAGCCTTTGAAATTGAGCTGGACCGCACGTAATACCAAACGGAAGTCTATTGAACACAAATAAACCTCGGTGGGTAGAAATCGTGGTAAGCTCCTTTGATTCTTCCTCTATTAATATTTGATTATAAGCTGAAGACAAATCTAATTTTGAAAATTGTTTTCCACCTCTCAATTTTGCAAATAAATCGTCTACTCGTGACAACATATTCTAACATTTCCATCTTTTTTAATATCGGGACTATGGGGGTACCCCATTCCGAAAATTCTATGGGCGCAATTATATTTTTAGCAATTAGATTATCAAGTTCGGCATCGACTTTGCCTTTTAGCGCATAAGGTAAAGGTCTGGGCACATAAAATTTTGGCAATGAGTCCGGCTTAAGTTTAAATTTCAATTTACACTTATTAAAAGCTCCTAATTTATCTGAAAATACATTTGGGAATTCCCTACTCAATACTGATATTTCATCTCCCGTTATATAATTAATTTCTTTAAATCCCATATTATAATTTCTTATAAAATTACGGCCTAACAATAGCGGCCCTTCATTATCAACAATAAAAAATTCTAATGAATGGCATTTGCCCAAGGCCCTTTCGGTTGAATACATTACAGTTTCTATTCGCAAAAGGTCGGGAAAAAATGAAATTTGGTGGGATGATAAACATGGGTTCTCTGATACTATAACTAAGTTTGCGACCTCGGAGGGTTGCCGCTCGAGGGGTGGAGGGATGAAAACGGCATCGCGACGATTTTCGGGAAACAGCGCCATTGTGGGTAGTGTAATCGAAAAAAAATTTAAATGAAATATGTGCAGGACAAAATAGTGCACAATTTTGACTTCCACATGTTTTTATCTGCAACCCATAGTTCCCACTCTACAACGCGCCAAAGTAGGTGGTTGATTTGCAATGTTCAACAAAATGAGAATTTCAGCGCGGCTTAAGACGAAGATCGCTATGAAATAATAATGTAATATTTTTTTCTAAAAGAGTTATGATTTATGAGTCTGTAGATGCCCGATTTGATATATTTGGTCGTAAATAATAAATGATTTGATGTTTTGAAGCTCGCTCCTACATATTCCGATATAAACATTTTGTAATTATCACGGTCAATAGTTCCTTATTATTGTTGATCTAGACGCCAAATTTATTATTTTGGTTCATACATGATACAAGAAAGTATTATTTTCAACACGTTGTTACGGTTTAGATTTCCCAAAGCATAAATTAACCGTATTTTGTTTATAAATATATAATTTTATACAATTATAGTAGTAGTTATCAGCTTTAAATGTCATAATAATAAATATTGAATCAAAAGGCGTTTTCGGAATCTTACTATAGATAACAAATCAAGATTACTGGGTTTACCCGATGGATCACGTTGATCACTAAACTTAGTGCCAACAGTTTACGAACAAGTTTATCTACGTCTGTCAATCTTTGACTTCTTCCGCGTAACTGTCAATATTATAAACCCTTATTTGTTACAGAACCATTTTAATTAAACATATTTGTAGTCTGACTAATAAAGTTGCATAAAGATTATAAGTTGTTACTAATTAAATGAAGAAAAAACTTCAAAGTTACTACTGGCAGACACCAGACATCAAAAAATTACGTTATCCCTTTATAAAATCCTGCGTTGCGCATGTGGACCTATTACTAATCTGCTCGCAGAGTAGATCACAAAATATTGATCTCGATCACAAAGCTGGATCAGTAATCTACTAGTTTCCGAACATGGACAGGGTTAGTAACAACAAGTAAACGGACAATAGGATCCATAATCTTTCTGACCCGAGCAAGTTTCCGAAAACGCCTAAAGTACTCACTTAGCTTTTTTAAATAAGTCCAGCAACGAAATCATGACCAACTATTTGTTCGGTATTAAAAATGAATCTTACTATTAAAAATCAGCTAGAAAATAATAAAAAAATTCTTGTTTTTACCCCTTTTATTTATTATCAGCACAATACTAGCTTTTATAATGATTACAATATATTTTTCTGACATTTATCTACCCCATTTTGTTTTGTTTACCTTTTCCAACCGGTTCTTCTTCTACTAAATTTTGGTCCCTATTCTACCTCCACCTAGCCTGTGAATTATTCAACCCTTGAGTCATCAGTAGAGACCATTCTTTAAGGTACCAAGTTTTGGACTATGAACTTTGATTAAGCCATTTTCGCCCATTTTGTTACTAGAGCTCTTCAAGAACAGTTGAGAAGTGCTCTCACGAAATTATTTCGGATTTTGCCAAGAAACAAACTTGTGCATTAGGACACATTCTTAGTGACTAAGCAAGGCGCTTGCGGATACTTTTCCTAACACAACCATTTATGTACTCACTTTTTGGCCACCTTTCATCAACGGTAAGTGTAACTAACTCTGCATGATGACCATTGCCTCTCATAACCTTTTCCTATTTCAGGCCATTTACTTTACATTTACTTTGCATCTACTTTACTTCTACTGTGCTTCAACTTCATCTTTAACTGCCCCCTTTGATAATTTCATCTACTGTTCATCTACTTTTTACTATCGGCTTGGACAACTTAGCCTGGATTTCCATGCTTGCGATGCATGTTGTACACCTGCGGTAGGCCCCAACAGAAGTACCCACTGGCCCATCCCACTCTGGACAACCATCATCGGTATAGCAAGTAAGAATTAACCATATTTTACTTTTGAGACCATCTACCTGCACCTAATTGCTTCGTCAGCTTGCTACCAGTGCATGAATCTTGTGTCCTAGGTTGAACCTTAGGTGTATAAATATTAAGCGTTATACCAGCAGAGCTTATCTTGTACCACCGCCTGCTTAATAGTAATGCGAAATCATTAAAAGATAAAATATTTGTAAACCAAAAGTATACTCTTGGCCCCTGTATAACTTTTACTTTTGTGAACACTGTTTTAAGCATATTATTCAACTAACGTCAAATATATAATCACCAGCGACTTGGATTGTATTAAACCACATTTTATTCAAGAGTTTTATTTCATTTAACTTTACCCAGCCACTCTCAACTGAAAACCGGGCATACAATAATTAAAATTAACCTCCTCTTTGTGTAACTTTAGCCTTCTACCATCTTGAGTCGAGGAGCAGGTTACAACGTTTTCACATCACCCTTGAGGTAGAGTTGAACGGCGCGTGTTTTCAACGTAGTATCCCCAAGAGGTCCAATCCACAGTAGATATTTGGGTTTCTTCGTCAAACTCGGTCTTGTATGTTTGGTCCTCATCATCCTTAATTGTGAACGTTTTTGGTATCTTCTGCATTATCACCGTCTAACGCAATCTGGTCCAGATTGTTTTCGCAGGACATCCCAGTATAGTGTAAACACAGAATCATTTTAATCCTATTTTATGGCAACCACAAACAGATCCACAACCTTTCTTGCATCTGCACGAGATGCTCTTAAGTAAAATATCTGGAGCTGGTTCCTTTGCCATCCGTACTGCGTCCAGTCCTGTGGTTGTTCTTCGCTATCTATGATCTTCTAGAGGTTTCTGAACTCCCCGCCAGCTTTGTACTTGACAATAAAAACGCAATGAATGATGACCGTTTTTAAGTATCTCCGTCCTCTTTACCTGCCTGTCCCTAGCCCATGTTCGATTTATGTTTAGACGTATGCTCTATGTACCTATTATAGCAATAATAAATAGTAATAAAATTTGTAATTTTGTCAACATCAAACGCCTACAAGAGGCGGGTACCGCTTTTTATTTTGTTATAGCTAACCTAATAGACGGTATCTGCCTTTTTTAGCCATTACATATTGAAAAAATCGCAAAATTTATCCAAAATTTACTATGTAGCACAGAAAAAAATTAATATATCACACACTCGTAAATAATAATAAATACTTGTAAATAATAATAAATAATAAGGATATTCATGACAACTAATGTACAAAAGTAATAAATTTGGCGCATGGGTCAACAATAATAAGGAAATATTGGCTGTAGATTCTGATAATTACAAAATCTTTATATCGGAGTATGTAGGGGCGCACTTCAAAACATCATATCATTTACTATATACTATACTATACTATATACGACAAAATGTATCAAATCGGGTATCTGCAGACTCAGAAATTATTAATCTTTTAGAAAAAAAATATAACATAATTATTTCATAGCGATCTTCGTCCTAATCCGCGCTGAAATTCTCATTTTGTTGAACATTGCAAATCAACCCCCTGCTTTGGCGCGTCGTAAAGCGGAAACTATGGGTCGCAGACAAAAAAATGTACATGTCAAAATTGTGCACGATTTTGTCAAATACATATTTCATTTAATTTTTTTTTTTTTCGATAGCACTTGCCACAACGGCGCTATTTCCCAAAAAGCGTCGTAACGCAGAGTTTTCATCCCTTCGCCCCTCGAGCGGCAACCCCCGAGGCCGAGGTGTAGTATCAGGGGACCCATGTCTACTATCCCACCAAATTTTATTTCTTTCCGACCTTTTGCGAATAGATCCCTTATTATTTACCCACCGCTTGGACTAAGTGGTGTTCTTCTGCATATTAGCTCTATTCTTGTCACACAATATGACGTTACGTGGATTACAAATGCGACCAATTCGCATAAGGCGTTTTCGGAAACTTACTCGGATCGGAAAGATTATGGATCCTATTGTCCGTTTACCTATGGTTACTAACCCTATCCGTGTTCGGAAATTAGTAGATTACTGATCCAGTTTTGTGATCGACATCAATATTTTGTGATTTATTCTGCGAGTAGATTAGTAATAGATCCACATGCGCACCGCCGGATTTTATAAAAGGATAACGCATTTTTTTTTGTGTCTGGTGTCTGCCATTAGTAGCTTTGAAGTTTTTTCTTCTTTCAGTTAGTAACAACTTATAATTTTTAGGCCCATATTACAACTTTATCAGTCAGACTACAAATATTTTTAATTAAAATGGTTCTTTAACAAATAAGAGTTTATAATATTGACAGTTACGCGGAAAAAGTCAAAGATTGATATATGTAGATAAACAGGAACAATAATCCAACTCGTTCGTAAACTGTCGGCACTAAGTTCAGTGATCCACGTGATCCATCGGGTAAATCCAGTAATCTGGATTTTTTATCTATAGTAGGATTCTGAAAACGCCTATAGAGAGACTTTACTTTATTTGATGGTTTTCCAGGTTTGGGTATCATGATTTCCATATGCTAGGTACATGCTCTAGTCAAAATGTGGCATTTATTATATTAGTGAGTTTAATCACAGCTATTCTTGGCAATTATTTTGGTATTTCACAAGCGATAAAATCATACCCGCGTGCAATCATAGAATTATTATTTTCTTTGATTTCCTTAGCTATCTTTTTAGGTATTACCCTTGAAATTTCTAATACTTTTCTCTTCTTTTCTTTTAATAAACTCTTTGTTGTTTTTCTGGAATGTTGTTCCATGGCCGCTTACTTTATATCTATCACAATTTTTTGCAGCTCATACTCGAGTTGTTCTTTTATTCTTGGTAATACAATTAGTTCAATTCTGTTAATTAATTCAGCTTTGCAACTTACCCAGTCTGTCTTTTTATTAAACAGTGTAGGTCTTATTATTTTTTGATTATATGTTTGCTTGGTATCATCAGTATCGGGGACTATCTGAGTCTAACTCCAAGTTTTCTTCTATTTTAATGAGTATTTACGTATTTTTTTAGTGATGCCTAGTGGATAATGAAATGTTTAACAACAAATTGTTTGACAACCAATTATTGAACAACAGATTGTTTGACAATCAATTTTTTAACAGCCAATTGTTTGACAACCAGTTGTTTGACAACGAATTGTATGACAATTAACTGATTGATAGCTACCTAATTGTTTAACAACCAATTTTTCGACACTAATTGTTTGACATCCAATTGTTTGACAACTAATTCTTTGACAACCAATTCTTTGACAACCAGTTGCTTGACATTAAATTGTTTGTTTCCGTTCTGATGCAGGTGTTATTTGGCTGACACTGTCATATGAACTGAGGATGAGCATTAAGAAAGCTTACGATTAATTTATTATTTATTTTTTTTAGATTATTTTATGGCCATGGCGAATACTGTTCATTTTTATATGGCAGGAGTGGAAACAAGTGGTTCTTCATTAGCGTTTACACTTTACGAATGGGCAATGAACCAGGATATACAAGAAAAAGTTCGGCAAGAAGTGTTTGATATTGTTAAAAAATACGGTAAAATAACGTATGAAAGTTTACAAGAAATGGAATATATGGACTTATGTTTAGCAGGTGAGTAAACTATATTAAATAGTAGTGTCTCGCGGCGTGTACCAATAAATTCAAGGAATCTATATTTTGTTGCTAATTGACTACGTTCATTTTATTTGTATATTGTTATTCCGAATTCGTACAGCGTCGTACAAGGTCTTTTAAAATCTGCAAAAACATACAGAGTGTCCCTTTTAAATTTAAAAAAGTTGAGGGTATTTCCGGTGATTCCAGATGCGTTATGCGCCATTGTACTTGCCTACAAAGTTTCATAAATATCGTCCTTTTCGTTTTAAAGATATTTACTTGGTTCTATACTTTATCCCAACTCTGTATACAATACTTTGCCGTAAATATTGGGTTTCTGGAGTGTTATTGAATGCTAAAAAATATAATAAATCGTAGTTACGCTTGATAGTCATCTTTTTCACTTCCCTCTATAAAAAGGAATTATTGTAATCGTAAAAAGTCACCTTCTAAGATTATTTCAGATTTTCACGTTTCAGGGTCCCAAGATTACGAAAAACATGTTTCCCTATTCCGTCGGTCTGTCTGTTGGCGCGATAGCTCATAAACGGCTTTATATAAAAACTTCAAATTTTGTATGCTTATAAGGTTTCTGTCTGGCTCAAAATCGCATATACTTGCGATCGGTTATATACAGGGTGGGAAGTGTTTAAAATAAAAATTATATTAAAAGTTGGCAGATTTCGACTAAAATTGTTATCTAGGAATTTTAAAAGTAAAAGATTACAAATCCTAAATAAGTTAAGTAATAATTTAAAATGGCGCTGAAAGGAATCGTATTTAATCAAAACATATCCCACCTGAATGGAAATAATAAAAATCGTCATTTTGGTTTGTGTAACTGGGCTATTTTAAAAGCTGCCAACCATTATTGTTTAATAACGGTGATCGTGATGAAGAATACCGAGTTGACGCGAAGTGAGAATTCGGATTTATATGAAAATATTGTTAGGCAAACGTACATAAAGAAAATATATAGTACTCACTTTTTCGTGTTAGGCATACTACTAGTATATAAGATAATAAAATGGCAACAGGGCAACAGCCAGTCGTCGACTAGAATTAGAAGACATGGTGATGAGATATTAGCCGAACCTAAAGTGAGTCACAAAGCCAGAGAGCATAGCTATAGCGAATATATCGTATTGGCTCTGAAAGTACGGCTATGCCGCATACAAAATAATAAGTACTGTATATTTTATACTGCAACATTCTCTCATCGCCCGTTTTTTCTCCTTAATTATTCCTGTAAGCCTGGAATAATAAAAAAGAGGCAGAGGCCAGAGCTAGACGAACGCAGAGATACGAGATAACTTATATTCTAACAACGGAACAATGCAACGTCACTTAAAACATTACGTTATTGTGGGTACGGGCGCTTTCGTCATGTTCTTATATTTATGATTTACAGACTCACATTAATGAGTATAATAACACATTAGTTAATAAATTCTGGCTCCTTCAACTCTTTTGAAACTTGTTAAAAAAAAGAAAAAACTGGTTTCCCGGTGGGCCCAATCGCCCCTAGTGGTTAATTAATACAAAGTTAATGTAGTTAAAATAAACCAGTTATCTGAAGTAATTATAGTACAGGATACAAAGTAAGGTTGACCTTCACCCATCTGTTTAACGGATAAAAGTTTTTTTATTAAATAAAATATGTTTGTAAATATTGCCCAAGAAAATACGGTCACGGCAATTTTTTTTCCTTTCTGATTACAGACAAGTAGCGTATTCGAGATATTTGAGGAAAAGAGTAAAATTAAAACGGTTAAAGAGAAAACACCAAACTTAAGCTTTAATCCATCCTGCGGTGAGTTGAATACATTTTAGGCATAGTCGAAGTGGGTATACTTTAGAGGTCGTCGTTTTTTTTTACTTCAAGAAAATAAATAGTCTTGACCGTATTTTCTCAGGCACCCAAACATGGGTGAAGGTCGATCTTACTTTGGATCTTAGACTATTACTATAATTTCTTTATGAGACAACAATCAATCAATTATTCAATCAATTAACCTATCAGCAAGATTTTCTACAAGATTCTTTATTTATATACAGTCCACAACTCTACCAGGTAAGACGGAAGGAACCCTTGAGCAAGCTGCGATAATTTAACCAAAAACATCACCGACCTTCACCACTAATTATTTACTGTAACGGTTGCATCCTGTATAAGGTAGAACTAATGCAATATTTTTTGAGTACTAAGAGTTGTGGCGCCAATGGCTTCCCACAATAATTTTGAATAATAATAAAAAATAAAATAAAAACAAGCTTGTGGTTCTCTTCCTTCTTCTATATCTCTCAACACCAGCTTAAACACCTTTCAAATTCTCTACCTCCTATGTTCCTTCCTGTTGTTGTAACTCCTGCATTTTATACCTCCTGTTCTCCTGCTTGCACCTTTACTTCTGTCCCTAATTATAATTCCTATTTGTCTGTCGCCTGTTCTTTACCTATTATTCTTTCTTTTATTGTCTTTAATCGTACAAATCTTCAATTATAATACCTATTGACTTAATTTTTATCTAATATTTATGAGTTCTCCTAGTGATTTTTCAAAATTTCCTACTGATAATTATCTCTAAATTCTTCTGATAATTCTCTTCCAATAAAATCAAATCTGCATTGGTATTCTCATCTTTCAATACGGAACGTGTTAAGACGACTATCTTAGTTCCACAAAATGCGATTCTTATGTAAAGTATCTCTCTATTTGATTTGTAAAGTGTTGATTTCGCACATAAGAATCCCTGTCCTGGTTACCATTACCGTCAAAAACTTAAAGGCCAATAACTTACTAACGTCAACGATACAGAACGAAAACATGCAACAAAGTCCAATGACGGAACCATGACACTACAAATACATATCCTCTTTATAATATTGAAACTGTCCGTTTAACTCCTGTTAATATAAATTGAAAAATATCTATCACAAAATTTGCTATTATAATAATTGCAAACGAGCCTTCCAATAACTGTGAAATAACTATTGACTTTCAGTTGCCAGTAAGTGAATTGAAGCCTGTAATTTTTTAATAGAACTTAGTTATCAGTTGCTATAGAATATAAAGTTTTTATTTATGCTTTTTTTGCGCAGATGTTCTCTCTTTATTAACCGACTTCAAAAAAGGAGGAGGTTATCAATTCGTCGCGATATTTTTCCATACAGTAGTAGCCGAGTTTCAAAAAGTACATTGATCAGCGGAAATCTTAATTTGTGTAATAGATATTTGGTGAATATATTCTTTACCATTTCTAGTCTGCTGATATCATTGAACTCTTCTACTGAACTTCCCACCAAAGGAATGCTACAAGGTCCTGCTGACCTAATAAAAAATGGCAAAACTATGCGATGTTTTGAGGCAATATTACGTATGCGTATTGTGGAATATTTGGAGAACATTACACGTCATTGAGTGCATATATCAATTATCAGGACTGGACCGCCTCACCTGCCCGCGTTGTTTGTTAATTTGAGAATTCGCAGTATTTTTGTAATTATTAAGTGATTATTCCCGATATAAGTATATACTTTGCTTTGGTTTTTTGTTTTTACATTTATTTCAGTTATTGTAATTTATTTCTTTAGTATATAATTTGTGAATCAGGTGTCAAAAACAAAGCTTTGTATAGTTATATTTTGTAAAACCAGTAGGTCAACACCTATTTTTAAAAGTAATGGCGTGATTTATATTAGCTAGTGATATAGCTATTTGGTAACTGCCTCACAAATTAGACTACTCAGGATACATAACTGCATTTTTGTGTTTTATGGCATGTTCATGAGTATAAATTGATGAAATACCTAGCAATTTGGTTTGTTTAGTAGAAGTTTGTTAACAATTATTATATCTTGATTTTCTGATCATGTTATTCATGTTAAGGAGGTCCTTTCGCCACACCTCTCGCCTCAAATGTTAAAAAAAAGTTATTAGAATATGACTAAAATTAATTTTTTTCTAATAGTTGAAGTCCTTATTTATCTAATACTGAACTTTTAACTATACCTTACCTTGCAAATTTTTGAGAATTTTTTTTTTAAATGTGAGTATTTGTACAGTGCCTCACGAGAAAGTAAGTCCTCAACAATTCTCGAATTATACTATTATTTATTGATTAGATGGAGTAGAAAAAACTAAAAATAAGGTTTTTGAAATATTTAGATTTTGTTTTATACAATAAAATATATATAGTAAACCGTGGAACTTATTGAGAAATTAATATTAAAAAATCACAAAAAATTTTCAAGTAACTTAGTTGAAATTTTTTTGTGATTTTTTAATAATAATTTCTCAATAAATTTCACGGTAACCTATATATTTTATTGTAAAAAACAAAACCTAAATATTTCAAAAACCTTATTTTTAGTTTTTTTTCTACTCCATCTAATCAATAAATAATAGTAAAATTAATTATAATTCGAAAATTGTTGTTAAAGTCTTACTTTCTCATAAGAAACTGTACAAACACACACATTTTAAAAAAAAAATTCTCAAAAATTTGCACGGTAAGGTATAGTTAAAAGTTCACTATTAGATAAATAAGGACATCTACTATTAGAAAAAAATTAATTTTAGTCATAATCTAATATTTTTTATTTAACATTGGAGGCGAAAGGACCTCCTTAAATAATTTGATATTTTCTTCTTCATTTTCATTCTTTAACCTGTTGATGTAACAACGAGCCAGAACTTGAAATCGATCCTTTAAATAGGTTATGTGCAAAAAACAGTCCTGTAATTTTTATACTCGATGTCCTTTATTCCTATTATTTTTATATAGCCCTTTCATCACTTTAAGCATGTTTCGTAGTTGTATTGGTTTGTGTTATATTTCAAATTAGAGACTGTTATAAAATATAGCGGTTTGTGCAACAAGACTGGATATGGACAATCCATTCGAGTTGTACAGTATATTGTTCTACGGACCCACTAACGAAAATCTACAAATTTAAAATATTATTTTAAGTTATTAAGACAAAATAACTAATTTTAAAATAATTATGAATTTTACTAATTTATAAAATAAAATAAACATAAAAAAGATTTCGTTTAATTAGTCCCCAGTCCAGATTTGATTCCGGGGTTTTCTCGTGGAAGGCAGACGCTCTGTCCTCCGTTCCACCGCCACTTTTAGGATTTTAGTTTTAATACTCGTAATTCAATTAGTTTTATATGGTTTGATTAAAATTTATTTTATTCTTTTTTTTTTATAAAAATAATGCTATTATTTATCGATTCTACACAAAAATAACTTATTTTAATGTATATTTTATATCAATGACTAAAAAATATACTGACGGCATTGTTACTTATTTAAAATTTTAAAAATAATGGTAGTTGGGTGTCCAACATATAAACTGTGATTGGCAGATTTAATTTTTTTGCAATGTTCTCACTACCTAGAATGGATATGATATATATTCGTAGATTAGTTAATATCCATGTGGGTTAAGAAAAAAGTATTTTTATGTAATAACCTCGTTTTAACAGAGATTACAATTTTACATGGTATTTGTCAAAGATATAATTATACGAGTAGTCTATAATGGCTTGTATCTACACAATAAGTTCTATGTTCTATTTTCCAACTTTATTTTATTATGTCAAAACAAATAAAACTAGTTTACTTGTAAATAAGACTCATCGATAAACTATAGAAATAGAGACCAATGATCCAAAATTTCATATTGTCCTAAGAATGATTTAACTGGCGATATACTGGATGTATATATTTTATATGGTTAATGTGAACTGAAAAACTAGGGTCCCGTATTGTGCTATAGTGCTGCAATATCTTACTTATTATATCTATGGTTGAAACAGAATCTAAGCTTATTTTGTTTTAATTTCAATTTAATTATCGAAGACAAATATAAACACAATTTAATTATTTTTTAGAAACTGGAAGAAAGTATCCACTTTTCCAACTTCTTGACAGATTAACGGATATGGACTACAAGGTTCCTGACACAGATCTAACAATAAAAAAAGGAACCAAGATTTATATTCCGTTTTATGCCCTCCATATGGACGAAAAATATTTTCCAGAACCTGATAAGTATATTCCGGAAAGGTTCTTAGATAAAACTATTAATAGCGATGGTGTTTACTACATGCCCTTTGGGGCAGGACCACGAATTTGTATTGGTAATTTTCAATTTATATTTACTTAGGTTTATTGTACTATTTTTTTTTTTTTTCAGGGGAACGTTTTTCCCAAATGAGTATGAAAATATTTCTAACTACGTTGCTGAGATCATTCAAAATTGAACCCTGTGATAAGACTCCTAGTAAAATAGCATTTGACCCAAGCAGTTTTACTATGACATCAAAAGATGGAATTAATCTTAAATTTAAGCGACTTAATGAAAATTAAAACTTAGCATCTTTTAAAAGGATAAAATAGGAATAATTTTTATGATTTTAAGATTAATGTTGAAATTGTTTATCTTTATTTGATTATTAAACAATTATATTATTTTAATATTTATTTACTGGTTTTGTTTAAGTAGTGTTGGATATGATGGTGGGTGAGGTTTTCCGGGTTTTCCTCACCTGTAAGTCAAATGGCACCATCAATCATCCTTAAGTCGCCCCGGAGCGCCACGGCAAATAATAATAATAGCCGTCCCTTCCCCTACACAAGTCGTTCAGTCGACTTCAGGGGTTGAAATTCACTCGTAAGGGGGTGAATTAGGGAGAGTATTATTATTATTATTATTATTAGTATCAACTTTGGACAATTTTAGATCATCATCTAAACAGTATTAAAAAAAGTGGTCTTAAAAACGTGCCTTGAAGCACACCACAAATTTGATAGATTGCCATATGGTTACAAGAAAATTCATTAAAATTAATGAGCTTGATTAACTTTGACAGAGCTTGACAATGTAACTTTAAGTTACTCAGAGCCAAAGTTTATCCAATCTCTACCAACCAAGATACACCAAACTCCAAAAATAAAAGGAAATGTGGATAAAATTAATCATGAGTATATTTACGGCATCGAGATAGAATAAAGTAGAGACGACATAAATACTCTTTTGAGATATATGGACGCACTTCAGGTGATGGAAAAGTGTAATGAAAATGGCGACTTGAGTCTTACTGTGATTTATTTAAAGTTAATAATTTTATATTTGAAGACTGACGGATTGAAAATGATTTTATATTTAATGAAGCTATTTAAAAAAAAAATGGCAATTATTCTTATCAAAACTGACTAGTTCCACAAGCTCCAGTTTGACATATGACGTAAAAGTATAATGTAAACGTGCGGACACTTTAGCATCATAGTATCTCCTTTTTATCTCTCAATGGTTTATGGCAACAGTGTTGCCAACGTCGAGTATTTGACTCGATTTTCGGGAATTTTTATTCAACTGATTGTCATACATTGACGCTTATGTTTATTCATTAAAGAATATATTAAAATATTCAATATAAAATCCAATGCATGTCATCGATTACGACATAATATTTAAAATAATAAATATTTTGTTTCACAATTGAATGAATAAATCGGGACGCATGTCTTATTATGGACAGTAGATTAATCAGTAAATAGTTAACATTTAGAATTGTACGATACGCTACTGGAAATAAAATCGTTTTTGGGAATTTTAATATTACTAATTGCTTAAAAATTATTGAAAAACATAAAATAAACTTGACGAGTAACGTTCATTACCCTGGAGTGAGGCATGTATAATATATAAATAAAAGCTGTATAATAACCAAATAATAGAAAAATTATAAGAAAATATATAAAGTGTAAATGATTGATGTTTATTATTTACCTGTGAAACTGAATTTCCGATTATTTCTTGTCGCTACGACTTTTACACTGATATGCAACACAATAAACCATTGCAACAAACTATTTACCAAGTGCAACATCTAAATAGTTTTTTACGATTTTATTTAAAGAATGATTAAGAATTTTACAAAGAAAGATTTGGATGATTGTTTTTTTTTTGATTTGAAGAATGACTAATGATTAATATGTTTTATGAAGAAAATTAGCTGATTTGATAAAAGTTAACATCTTGGGGACCAAAAAAGTACCATGGGAGACCTTACATCGTAAATAAGACGTGTGCTACCCCTTAAAGAAGCCCAATCTTATTGAGATAAGCCTTTTTTATATTGTACTGAATGCTATTCACAAATAGATAAACTCAAAAGTAATTTTATTATAAGAAACTCTTGTAGAGTAAGTAGGATTTGGTTTCCCCGTATCTACTGAAGGAATATCCTTTATTTTTCATTTAAATTTAATAGTAATTGTTTTCGTATTTTCATCAATTACTTCATACGTAGAGATATGCCGATTTAAATACGGTGGTGTCCATTTTCTAATTACAGAGTGATTGAGTTATTATATCAAAGTAGCCCCATTCACAACCAAATTGTAAAAACAACAACAAGGGTAATAAACATTGACACTCTCGTTACACGTTTGTGGATGGTTTTAAATTAGCTGCATCTGCTTTTACAAATCCAGGATTCAGGTAAAATATTTACAAACGATTCAAAAATAGTAATATAATATATAATTCTATGAATTAATTTTAGTTTCAAACTGACGTAAATATGAAGTTTCTGACATTTGGTGTATGACGGAATATATTGGGATCAAGATAAGCGATACGCCCTCTACTGTGAACTAAATGTTGTGGCCATTTGACACTTGAAGGTCTATGTTCTGTCAAGTTTTGTTTATTGTTTATCAGTTCATGTCAATAAATGTTATTTTAAAATTTTACAAGTCTTTTGTTTGAAATATCTTATTTAATAATAAGCTAGTGCTTTAAAATTTTATATTATTTGGAATATAAGTGGAATATCAGTGAAAAACGCACTTGTTGTGTGCCTCAATGCAGTCCTTAAAAACACCCTTCTCTTACATTCCGTCTGCTTCCTAAAGTTGGTAAATGTAGGGTAATTTTTATAAAATGCAGGTGGAAATTCTGAACTTGTGGATGAAAAGAAATGCATAGTTACAAAAGTTGAAAATTGAGAAGCCAGTACAAATTATTTGAAAGATTGTTTCCATGCACAGCATTTTATAGATGATTATTTGCTTAGAGGTAATATAGATGTATTTTTCGATTTAATGTTTTTATTTTACCATTTTTGTGTTGCAGATGCCTCATTCCAAGTGAAAATAAATATTAAAAAAAGTCGCTTTGCCTTCCTACCAGTTTTAAGTAAATGTTTGACGATTCTGTTTGATAAACTTCAAAATCAAACATTGACAGAACAGAAAGAAGAGCCAAACTAAAAAAAGTTCAGTCAATGTTAAATGTGATAGTGAGAATAAACAAGTCATAGAGGTTGCAAATACTCTTTTTCAGGTGTATTGACATTAGTGTAAAAGTGCATACCCCAAAAATTAAAACAATTTCATATCTTTTAAAATCTGACAAAGAGTTGTGTTCATTTACTGACATTAACAACCTTAACATATTGTACTAGAAAATACAGTGAAATCAGCTGAAGAACTTCGGAATATGGCCTATTGGGTATTGTAACTCAATAAAGAATTTTTATTATTATCTAAACATTGTCATATTTTGTTAACAGAAAAAATGAAAAAATATTTGATTTTTATGTTTATTGCTTATAATAGCCATTTTTACCAGACTAGGTTAGGTTTTCTAAAAACTTAACTAACTTACCTAACCTGTGTCAGAGCAATCAGTTAAATTGATCCAGGCCGTACAGGTTAAGTAAATAGGTTAGGTTTTCTTTATTTTTCTCTTATTTGTAAATTTTTTTTGCGAAAAAAATGTTGGGGACGTTTATAAAAAAACGGATGAAGAATTATTAACATAATTGGTGGATAAAATCCGCAATGGCTCGAGGTTGTACAGCGTCGAGGGTCGACGGCACTAAGCCGGTTAGCTAAATTAATTAAATTGTTTGTTTTTAGTTTTCTTATTTTTCTATAATTTTGTTTGCAAGGATAATCGCGTAGAATCCAGGCTGCACAGGTTAGGTAAATTAATTAAATTTTTTATTATAAAAAAATTACTCTAACTTACCTAACATACGCGAGAGCAATCAGTTAAATTTAAATAGCGCAAGTTAGGTAAATTAGGTAAGGTTTTATTTTTCCTTTTTTTGTATATTTTTTTTTGCGAAGTAAACCTCGAGGGCTCCAGATCGCGCAGGTTAGGTAAATTAGCGGAAAGCAGAAACAATAGAAGAAAAAAATAAAAAGTCAACTCCTCTCCAAAAACCTCTCCTGGCCAACCTTGAGGTAGCAAAAATCAACAACAAGAGAAAGCAATATTCGAAAAAACAGTGAAATTTCCCTCGATAATAGCAGGCAACATCAATAAGTATGAAGAATTGCGCATACACTATCAGAAAATAATATTTTCTTTCAAGCCACAGCTCTAAGCAATAACCAATTTAAAATTAATACTAAACAAGAAGAAGACTTCCAAAAAAAATGATATTTTTAAAAAATACATGATGCTTGCTAACCTTCGAAAGAAGCCAGCAGAGCAATTCGGTTTTTTAAAGCTTTTTTCTAAAAACCACACCCCATTTTTAGAATATTTTTAGACTTTTAAAATATTGTAAAACTTTACTAAAAAAATTGCTATTTTTAAATAATACAGGGTGCTTTGTTGGAACAAAGTCAGCAGGACACTTCAGTTTTTTAATTTGTTTTTTTTATATATAAAAACAACTACTTATGACACATGTTTAGGCTGTTTTAAAATCCTAAAAATGTGGTAAGTATATTTGTTTTCAGAAAAAAAAAACTTTGAAGTCAGCAAGGAATTGCGATTTTTTTTTAAAAATGCCAAATTTTGAATATTTTATAATATTGTAGGAGCCAAAAAACGTGGTGTGGTTTAAAAAAAAACTGGGGTGCTCTGCTGGATTCGTTTGAAGCTAACAAAGCATCCAGTAATTTTTTATTTTATAATACTCAATAGCCTAAAATGAGACATAGCTGTTTAAACAAAAAATTGTACTTTTAAAAATAGCAGTTTTTTTCGAAAAGCTCTTTAATATTTCAAATATTTGAAAATGTGGTGAGATTGTTTTTTTTTAAGTTTTGAAAATCCGAGGTTCTTTACTGGATTCGTTCAGAGCTAGTAAAGCTCTGCTCGTCTTGTTACATAAAATAAGGCATTTTGTAGCTGGTTATATAGTTATATTGTAACTGCATATCTAATCCTTTTATTTTTTTAGGGTGGTTGTAAACATGTGGCTTCATAGAAGAAGTGAGGAACCATCTGTAACATCTACTCAGTGTTATTGGAAAGGCACTAATTTATCAAAATGCGTAAATATTGATGTACACTTGGCTAGATTGTTAAAGAAACCTCTTCATCCACTACAGGAAAATTAATCATTACTTTTATATTCTTAGGATTTGTATATTATATATTTTTTATTTGTAAATAAATTGTTTTTACTTCATTTTTCTCATTTTTAATAAATAAAATTTTCACAGATTTTTATATTTTTGTTTGTAAACAGTAATTGAAGTGTTTTTATTAAAAATCACCTATGTTAATAATAATAACTTAAGGCAATATTATTCTTTCTCCTTTTTTAAAGCTACTATCAATAAAGGTATTACTTTAGCTTGACCTACGATCAATTTTGAATTTTGTGATATATTTGGTTTGACAGAAAAAAATTATAACCCTTTGACATTGGTTGTTTTTACTTAGATTTTCATAAAAAATAAACGGAACTGCAAACATGTTTTACTATCGTAATAACGAATAGCAACATTAAATATTTTTTTTCATATTTATCACTGTTGTCATTTTCTTACGGATTGATAAGAAGGCAATTTCTGGTTTTTTGAAAAAGGTGGCAAGAATTGTGATATTTTTAAATTTATTACCAGTGACATACATGTAGTTTATCCGATTTATTGGAATATATAGACTTTGCTACCACATTCAACTGAACTTGGTTGTTTTTAATATTTATCACTGTGACATAGGCGTTTTTGTTAAAATGTTTCATTTTAAACTGCTGTAAATAGGTGCCTTTGGTTTGGTAGTTTTAGTCCCAAAAAAATCTATGCGTATACAGGTACTCATTCCTCTTTGATTTGCTCGAAAAGTTAAAATTTTATAAAAAATTTCATTGGCTGTTTAAAAACTCATTGTAATCCCCGAAATGTGATAATTAGGTAAATTAAATTAAAAAACAAATAAAAAAAATTTATTAAATTAATATTTACTCTTACTCTTGTAAGTTAACAAGCAATTATGCAGATATTACTAAGTAAATGTACTTGCTTAAAATTCACACAGGAATGTGGTTTTAACATGTTAAATTAGGTAACTAACCCTTCTTATAACTCTTTCCACATGTATTCTTAGAGATGCTATTCTTTTACTTAATTGTACATCTTCTGGAGAACTTTTTTCATTCTGTGATACACTAGGTGTGGCTTTACTAAAGTGCATCCCATGTTTTCAAGTAGCTAAATATTCTGAAACCCCTATCTGCCATTATATGGGATCCAGGAACCAGTTTGTTTAAATACCCACATTTTTCTATTATTTCTTTATCACTAGTTCTTCCACAAAATGATGAATAAATTCGGTATCTTCAAAACTTTCAGGAGATTCTGCATTTTCTTCCAGAAGGGTTTTTAGGTTATACACCTAAGAATTTAGAGTATCCTCATTTTCAATTTCCTGAAGGGGACAATTAGCGAAAATTGCTGCTACATCTTGATAATCCGGTGTATTTTTATTAAAAAGTTCACGAGAAACATCGCTAGTAGAAAGTTGATTTTCTTCTTTCCAAAATTCTAGGAACACTAATAAATATTTTTGAAGATGAATGTGAATCATTATCACATTCTGGAACAAAATACTTCTTCGTAGTCATAATATTTATAAAAAGTACAAAATTAAACACTCAAATTTCAAATAAATTCTTGATCGAGACGAGACACTATGATGACAGATGCCATACACAGTGCTGCCATTTTGCCATTTTCTGAATTATTAAGTGACTTTAAAAACAATGAAACTTTAAATATGGTAAAAGTTTAAACAGAAATAATACTTTCAAAAAACATTTGATATTATATATTTAAAAGATATTTGTTTAACGATGTTTTAGAAGTCTAAAAGCAAGAAGGAGTACACAAACGAACGTACATCACTTCTCGTAAACCTTCTAGTCGGCAACGTTGTGGCGCTAGCTCCATTGGTCTATTCCCGGTGACGTCATAAATTTTAAAAAATTCATAACTCTGGCAAATAAAGGGATGAAAATAAAAAAAAAATTAGCTTTATTTTCAACTATATTATTCATAAAAAAAAATTCAAAATTTTTGAACATGCCCCATTTTGAATGTCGGCCATGAGTAAGTGCTGTAAAATGTCACGAGTCGCTAATCTAGAAATATTGAAAAATTGTGGAAATAGTGAAGAATTGAGGGGCCCAGAAGTAAAAGGATTTAAGTGCAGTTTTGGTAGTTCCGAGATAAATGGCTTTAAAGTTAACTTAAATTTCAAAATTCCAGGAATAAGTTTAGGAAACTATGTAAATATTTTAGTTTTATTTAAAGACAAACAAACATTACAAAGAACAAAGATTTTTTTTACCTTTCAATTTTTTTGTTTTTTTTGCAAAAATGCACATCATTACACATGGTAAAAATTTTTTGGTGGTGAGATGATTCAAGTGCAATTACTGCATTAAACTTAAACTTATTTCTAAAAACAAAACACAAAATTTATTATTCGTAATCAGAATCTATTAAGTTGTTATCTTCATCGCTTTCTTCCTCTTTTTGGCTTTGTTTCTTTTTTCCTTTTTTTTCTGATGCCTCTCCTCCATCGTGCTTTATTCCTTCGTAAAAGGTGTGGTGTCTTGGCGGAATGTAATTCATTAAGGTTAACAAATTTTTGTACTTGGCAGATTTAATTTTTATTGAAGTTTTGTTCAAAGGCTTCAATATTGAAAAATTAAAAGACGGACGTCCAACTTGCAAAGTTGGCATCTTACAACTAAAGAAATCTACATCAATGTTTAATGTTCTTTTGTATTTAAACCATAGTCGTTCAGTTTTGTAATAAGCGAACCAACAAATTTCCCTCCATTTTAAGGGGTGACCGTCACTATCTTTTTTAGGATCTTTCATTATTTCATTAAAGGGCGAAAAAGAAAAAAAATCGTCTTTGTTCATTTCATATACAACAAATTTGGCAGATGTGTCTCTTATTACAGTCTCCCAATCTGCTAAGATAAAAACTTGAGGAATTTGCCTTTTTTTCTTCTCAATTAAGCCAAAACTACGGTCACACTCCATATAGGTGTGACCGGGTTCAAGGAACCTGTGGTGAATCTCAGTTATATTTGTGGCTTGAACAATAAAAGAAAATAGTTTAGAAATGTTCTTATTCTTATTCTGTCCCCCACACGAATCACTGTATGCAACAATCTTTGTTACTGTTGATGGAAGACTTCGAATAAATTTTATTAGGCATGAGCATATCTCCTGCGAACCCCTGGATGCAACAGTTTCGTTCCATATAAACATATGACTTTTTCCAGTCAGTAAGTCAAAGACACAGAAATTATATGTCCATAGTTGACGGAGGTAGAAGACTTTAGAAGTTGTTAACAGCGGCGTTGGCAATGCCTGTTGCAAATCAAAACAAATTACAGCAGTATTTTTGGAGTTTTTGTTTTCAGTAATATCAGCTTTCTTGGCGTCTGTTGCTTTCTTGGCTTTCCTTTGGTGTAGCTCGAGGTCTCGCTTGGCATTTGTAATCTCGTCTTCATTTGTGGAGTGTTTTACTAGATTTTGTAAATTGTCACAACGACTGCAAGCGTCACTATAAGGCTTGTGAAACCTTAAATTAAATTCCGTATTGAAAATAAACCTATAATAGGACTCTTTTACTGGTAACTCTTGTTTTTCAATACATAACTCCTCATATAATTTGTACATCTTACTGATACTCAATTCGCCTGAGATATACTTTGCGTTTAGATTGTCTTTTCTAAAATAGTGGCTACTATATTTCGGGAACATATTTATGTGGGAAATGACGAAATTTTTGGATGATTCCTTTATTTTATTTGGAGGTTCCTTTTTGCCACGCTTGTCAGGTTCGGTCATGTTAAGATCTGTAGTTTTTTTGCAAACAGTTTGAAATCGTCGCACAGAAATGTTAAAAGTGCGTAAAAAAAATTGTTTACAAACTCGTTTTCCCACTAAGGTTATAACAGTGCTATAGCTTTTATTTCCAACAGCTGCGACTGTATGTCTTTTAGGTGGGATTTTTTTAATGCAGGAAGATAAAAAAGCAGTTTGCAGGTCATAGGAAGGAAGTTCATAAAAATTTCCAAACAGCTCTTGCCTTTGGGCCTCACTAATATTGTCATTGCACTGATATCTACAAACGTGAGGATATTCTTTTAGTTCTTTTGCTTCCTGTACCCTATTTTTCCTTCCAATATACTCCTTTCCTTCTGTCCGCAATCTTTTAGCACTGTTAGCTTTCCACTCTTTCGGGCGCCGTTTTCTTTGTCTAGTTTTTGTCGGAGTGACATGTATATATTCATTTTCATGTTCATCGTCTGGTACTACTACTTCAACTTATTCTACTTCTATGTCAGGAACATAGTCTGAATCCTCGTCAGTCTGGAATGGATCAGCTTCTGTAAAAACAAAATAAAAATTATCTAACCCAACTTTTGATTAATCCTAAAGTTATTTTACATTTTAATCTTTTCTACGAAATTAATGTACTTACCATCACTTTCCCAGTCAGTACTCATTTTGCTTATCAATGTAACACTATCAACACTGCAAAATATGTGTTTTGAACTAACAAAAGTACCTGCGAAAACACATTAACACACGTGAAACATTAAAAATATCTGGCATCTACAGACATCTCTAGAAGTAAAACGGTTCATGTGTACTTGAATCATTTTAAAAATAGCCGACATCTACAGACATCTCTGGAAGTAAAACGGTTCATGTGCACTTGAATCATTTTACCACAGACTTTATTGGTTAATATGTTGATACGTTTTTCTAGTCTACACGAGATGTCGCCAGGGAACGTAAAATACACTTGAAGCATTTTACCTCTAAGTAAAGGTCTACTTTAGGTGTGATAATCTGCACTTAGACCGTTTTTTTAAAAAGTGCACTTGAACCCTTTTACTTCTGGGCCCCTCAATTGTAAATAAATTGTTGTAATATTCCTTCCGTTTCGTGACATTTTGGTTGGGTTTTTAAAAAAGGTGTGATGCGCTGGAACGTACATATTCTATACTACTTTTAATTTTTTGATATTTTACTAGTTTTAATGTTGATTTTCGATATATTGTCCTTTCGATCTAATAAAATATATCTTCGATCAAATGTTATTCGACCAAATGTATTTTCGATCAAATTCCATTCGATAAAACGTGTTTTCGATCAAATTTCCAATTCGATCAAATGTTTCTCGATCAATTTTGTGCCACCCAATAAATAGTCCTAAAACTTATAATTTCATTAACAACTTGGCAACGTTGTCCTTTTCAAAACAATCTGTCGTATAGAATGAATGTTTTGCAACTGTTTTGCAAAGTTTTTTAAATTATTTTTTTTTTTCGAAAAATACTAATTAATCCATAATTTAAAAAAATACTATAGAAATTAGTAACTTTTGAGTGTTTAAATTTTTTTTGTAAAATTCGCATCTTCGAATAGTAGGATAGACCCTCGAAGAACAAAAATATATTAATTTTTGTAGTGGGGCTTTAAGTTTGATTAGGAATTTATGTTGAAAATTAGATTCACTTTACTTGATAAAAGCTAGGAATTGTGATTGCACCTCTGAAAGGTTAGAAAATAGGTACTGATTTTTACTCGCATCCTGTTCAGTTTTAGAAATGTTTGTTTTGGAAAGTAAAAACACCTTATAACACCGTGATCAATACTAAGTGCTGATCTCAAAAGTAAAATGTTAGCAAGTATTTCCAACAGCTTCGCCGCTAATTAAAAACACAAAATTGAGTTTATTTGCTGTTCTTTATCCGCGAAATGTGAAATGGTTGAAAACTTTATCCATTTCGAATCCATCCAATTAGGTACCTTGCCTCCGTCGTAATTATATCATTCAGCGATTCGAAAAAGGGGAAATAGAAACTAAATAATCAAGTTTGCATTTGATTTTCCAGACGATATCATTAAGTGAAACAGGAAATTCATTTTCGAGAGGAAGATATTTGCAAGTGTAGGAGAAGGCCATAATTTAGGTTAATAAAAACGAAGAACAGCGATAGTAGGTTAGAATTTACGAGGTCAAGTTTTTACTACTAGTATCATTATCGAAAATTGTTTGCAAATATTTTCTCAGGATACTCACACCTTCGTTATTTTGTGCTTAATACAACATTTTTATATTATAGTAATATACTTTAGTACTTACTTATACAAGTAATTATTTATATTTATTACTGAAAAATATCTATACTTACAATTTGTTTATTTGAATTAATTAGGTAATGTAAAATATATTCTAAATTTTATATTAAATTTTCCCCGCGCTAACTGAAGCCCTTTGTTTCAAGGAGGTATTGATTTTTCAATTCTCATATCACTATGCATTAAGAGATCGTCTGATCTCCAAATTGTGATGATTTAAATACCTACTTACATTTCCGGTCTCTGCTCAGGCAATGTTACCCAAGTAATACAAAAAGTTAAATAAGGGTTATACCGACGTTTCAACAACTTTTCTTAAAACTCAACAATTTATGTATTCTAATACACCATATTATAACTTGTAAATGTTTTATTTCAATCTTCCAAATACCTACTTCAAGTTGATCAATGTTGCTTTCATAATGATTTATTATTTGATAACCAATTCATAGATTTTCAAGTTCGCCAGGATAGTTAGGGACAGTCATAATAACATAATCTTATGAACTAAAAAAATATTTCTATAGGTTTTTTATCTTACAACAATAATTAACTTTACGTTCTTTCACCATAAATTGCCTCTTTCATTATAATATTGTTATTTTGCCTCTTTTATATTGCTTTTTTATTTTTATTATGAGTATATTTTATATTTGCCTCTTTTAAGTTAAGTTAAACATGGATCTTTTAATATTTTCGTTTTTTTAATCGAAATTTTTTATTTTCTTGTTTTTTGTTTTGTTTTTATATTTGTATTTGTCTATTATTTAGTCAACTATTGCCTGTTTAAAATCTCTCTTTAGTTTACATGATACTTACTTTTTGACTTTACGGATAGGAGTAGAACGAAGAAAATAACTGTAAAAAGAGTTAGTATTTAATTATTGAGTAATTGATTCAAATTTGTGTTTTTTTTTTATCAATTAGGTACAGAATCGTAATTATCAACACGTTTTCGTTTGGTAAAATTAGTACGAAAGACCTTTGTTACTTCTTTGGTAACAACAATATGATCAGTAAGATATTTTTAGTCGAAATATGTTCGTGAGGAGCTTCATTAAGTACCATGCCTTTTAGTTTTTCAAAAATTACTAGCTTACTCGTATTATAATTTAAGATGATTCCTTTAATTTTTATTAGGTCCAGTGTTTTATTTTTTGCTGTAGAATACACACGGTACGCGTATAATTTTGGGCCACCAGAGACAACGTCTGTAATGTAGCTACCATCTCCATATTCATTCAAGTCGTCGGTCACTTCACCCAGAAAACTACCTAAAGGTACTTCATATTCTCCAGGTCGAAAAACAAATATGACGGAATCTGTATCGTGCTATCTAACTTTTCCAAGTACTATACAACTTTAACCTCGCTAAAGCCGTGGTATATGCTGCCAGAACAACATTTACTGTGGACAGAACATCATATGTCTCATTTTTAAACACCCAATTAACTAATTAATTATTTTCATTTACTGGAAAGACAATATTTACTTCAATAAACGGTTTAGATAAAATATTAAAAAATTCTGCAGTATCTGTGACTATAAATGTTTTATCCTGGTTTTCCCTCAGCCCCACCTTTCTCCAACTATGAACACATTCGTTTGACATATTTTCACAACATGTCCGATATAGTGGAAACATCAGTTAATTGTTTGATTTAGTAGGCAATACTGCTTGATAAGGTTCTGTGGTGGTAAAATTTTACATTTAATTAATCCGCTACTTTTGTATAAATCTACCGTTTTGCACTTCTCTCCAACAAACACCTGTGGATGTCCAATAGGATATTGTCCATACTTGTTCACCCAAGGATAAAGGGAACATACATCTACGTATTTTATTTTCTCTCCTTTTGCACATGTACAATTTCGTTGCATCGGTCCTACCACCATAGAATGCGTCATGAGGCTCTAAAGATATTAAAGAAATAAGAGGGTGATTTTCAGTAAATGTAAGAATTGATTCATTTATTACAAAATTACCTTCCCATTTTTCTATCACTTCGTAGCCTTTGAGAGTAATCTTAGAGTTTTCATTAAAGTTGATTTATACCGCGCCTCTGTGGTAGAGATTGGATCTTCATGCAATGGTTCATCCCGTTTGTATTTTATACATTTAGTACAGTTATGAAAATAACATCCATGAAATTCAAAAATCTGGTTAGTTTCTTTACAAAAACCGTCTACTTTCACTCCAACTAGCACAGCTTCTGTTTCATTTACTGCATGAATAATGTTAATACCTCTTTGATGACCTTCTTAAATTAACCACTGTTTGGCACTTTAAGACTGTTTGTCGTATTGGGTTTTAGAAAATTCCTACAAAATATTTTATTACAGGTCCCTGGAAGTGTACTAGCTTCAGTAAAAGGGTCTACTCCTTCCTCTTTAATCCACATTTCTCTGAATTTTAAACAAGCACGGCTTAATATATCTACGTCAGATATACGAGTATAGTATAATATAATTTGCTCCTGGAAATCAAAGTTGTAATTTTTATCTTTTTCATGCCAATCCACAAGTTGTGTTCTAGTATCTGTATTTTCATCGAGGGTAGGAGTGTACTTTAAATTATAAGGATCATAGTATTCCAGAGCTGGTAAAAGACCTATATAATCCCTGTTCTCCTTTTTATTAAATAAGTGGGGAACATAGGGCTTCTTTACATGTTTGAACCCAAAAGCTTTAGGTAATTTTAATAAAGGCATGGGAAAATAGTTAGGATAGTCAATAAACTTAACATTTTCCACACTCATTAAAATAAATTTAGTTCCTCGGTTAATAAATTCTGGTTAAGATCAGTAGATGTTAGAATATAACTAAGCATAAACTGGTTATCGTAGAGTCCACCAGCGGGCCCAGTCACGTATATTTTATAAACTGCTGTCTCTGTTTTATAATATACTCCATAAATCGTGCCACAGGGTCAATTTTTAAAATCTGCTGCCTAATGCCCCAATTACATATTCTTATGTCAGTATCTATACAGTGTTGTTGGTACACACACAAATTAGGCTTATGTAAAAATGACTCGTCAGGCATAAGTGTTTCTTGAGTACTTTTCAGGCCGTAAAAAACTAAATCTTCTCCAGACACTGTAGGTTTAACATTGTCAACAGAAACAAAGAAATTGTAAGGCGAAGGTTTATGAGCTCTGCATATAAGCAAAATATTAGTGTTTCGAAGAACTCCGTAAATATGGCAACGCTGAATATCTTATTTTACGAATTTACAATTTTTATGAATGAAATGTAGTACCGTAACCAACCGCAACGTTGCCAATCAGGTCTAACAGCTATTTTGAATTTCTGACAGTATCTGACAATTTCTGTGTGACTTATTGATTTATTCATTTATAAAATACTATTTTTGTGAACTTTTGTGAGAAATATAAAGAATTATGGTACATGCATGTGTAGTGTTCAAAAAGGTAGATCATTTAAGTCGAAATGTATGGTTTCATCGGTAAGTATTTTTAGGTTAAGATATGTTGTTTTTATTTGAACCAATGGAGTAGGGCTTGTACAAGATTTGATACAATTTCTTATAGAATTTAAATTATATAGGATCACTTAGTAAGTTGTTTGAAAAATGATTATCCAATCAAATTTTTCAGACAATTTACTGCAGGTTTGATAATATACAATTTAAATTGTACAAGAAATTGTATCAAAAACTTGTGTAGTCTAAAACAGTCTTAAAACAGTTTTTAAAGTGATATTCCTTTTATAAATTGGTAAATTTTTCTTATACCAATAAATAATTATCCAATAGTGGCAAAGAAAATTTAACGTAAAATGTAGAATACCTTAAAAATGATTTACCTATTGAGCACCTATACATATTTTTTATTATTCTATTTAGGTTTCCGCAAGATCCTGAGAAAAGAAAACTTTGGTTTTCTCTAATAGGAATCCTTGAAAATCAGCCCCTTCGTAAAAACCCAGAGTTCTGTTTAGAACACTGTTTTCCTGAAAATGTTTTGGTACGTGCAAATGGTACTAGATATATTAGAAAAAATGCAAACTCCAGACGGTGTGAGGGCTTTCTATTTTTGGATGACTTATCCAACAGGTAAAAATACAAAATATTAATTTTTTGTTTACCTCTAAACATTATTTATTACCTATATGTATGTACATCTAATGTATGAGTTTTTAGTATTGATTCAACTGTTTTTGGAACACCACCTGCTGCAAAAAGAAACATTGTAGTAAGTTATAACATTAATAACTAAGCCTAAAAAAATTAAATGAAATTTTAGTTAATAAAATTAAAGTATTTTATATATTTAAAACATTATTTTAAACATTTTTACAGTTTTTTAAGATATTTTTTGCCATACCATGTTTTTTTGTAATTATTAATTAAAAAATTATATATTTTTAGGACAGTGTTTTATTTAGATACCCCTACCTACTTAATGTTAATTTAAAATTTTAAATAATTTTGGTTAACATCATACCAGGCAAATATATATAGTAAATGCCAATAAACTATAAATCAATAAATATTAAAAATCGAAAGGTAACTTGAATTCGCTTGTATTTAAAACTATTGTCATATACTCTGATAGCCAAGCAGCTCTAAAGGCAATTATCTCACCAGAAATCAAATCACGACTGGTGAAAGACTGTCTAGAGTCTAGAAGACCTGACAGAGCTAAGTAGTTAAAATAAGGTGACCTTAGCCTGGGTTCCAGGCCATGAGGAATATCAGGGCAACGAAAAGGCCGACGAATTAGCTCGAGGAGGCTCAGATAAGGCCATGACAGGCCCCGAACCCTTCTGTGGAGTTGCTAAGGCATTGTACAAGGCATCCATTAAACAATGGATGCAAACAGAGTCTCAGGAATGGTGGAATAACTATCCAAGACTGAGACAGGCCAAACAGTTCATCAAGGAACCATCGGCCAAGTTCACGAAAGACCTACTGGATCAAAAGCGTCAAATGGTTAGGATAACAGTAGGCCTTCTTACTGGACACTGTCGCCTCAAAAGGCACATGAGTGTCATAAATCCAGCAGAAGAAGCAACTTTGTACAGGTTCTGTGAAGAAGAAGAGGAAATAATATTCCACGTCCTGTGCCAATGTGAATGCCTGGCTGGAACGAGGTTTCTAACATTGGGCGAAGAAAAGCCAATTGCATGCAACTACATGCGGGAGCCACTGTCAAAGCTACTAAGACTAATAAAAAAGACCAGGCTAGACGACATACTCTAAAACAAACAGGAGTCCCTCAATAGATCTGAAAAGGTCTCGGTGGACAAGGACAAATAACGTCCAACTCATAATCTAATCTAATCTACCTACATGAAAAAATCATAATTATATTACTTAAAAAATATACCTACATATTTACGTATTTTTTTTAACATACTACTCTGACAATACTGGTAAGTTTAAAACTCTACGCCACTGGCGAGCATATTATGGACACTGTTTACAACGTTGCCAGCCGGTCCTAAGAGATCTGTCTTTCTCTCTTCCAGTCACTAACAATTTTAAAACAATAACAGTCTGCAATTGTATGGGATTTATGAATGAAACATTTTGTCTATATGTTGTAATGTCTTTGAATTTGATGATCCTGACGTCAGTTTTCAGTATTATGATAGACTTTACACGTCAATGTTATCAGTTGTATAGTTATTGTAAAAGTTGAGTTGAAATAAATTAAGATTCCAAAAACCAGTGTAACATTGGTGACAGCGGCGGGATATAAAATAAAAGTTACCCAAGCATTGTATTTATGGTAAATACTAAATCCACTGCGCACGAAATAGATATAGATACTTTAATCCCACCAGCATGGTTTCTCAAAATGGAAGAGAAGAGAGTAATCCGAAAAGAGTAAAAAGGAAGAAGAGGAAAAAATAAAAGGCGCAGGAAGGAATAAGAGGAGTGGGAAAAGGAAAAGCGTAGGAAGTAAGAAGAGGAGAAAAAGGAAAGAAGCAGGAAGAAAGAAGAGGTGAAAAAGGAAAGATGCAGGAAGGAAGAAGAGAAAGAAAAAGAAAGGCGCAGGAAAAACAAAGAAAAAGGAAAGAAAGATAGGCTTAAAAAAGCTGAGGTAGAAATTATAAATGCAAGAGGTAAGTCAGCTAAACAGCCGAGTAGATCTCTTAACACAACAACAAGATAATTTAAAAGCCAATTTAGAACAGCAGCAAGATAATCTTAAAACTAATTTAGAGAACTTAAAAATGAATTTAGAAAAACAGCAAGATAATTTGAGAAACAATTTAGAAAAACAACAAGAGTATTTGAAAGCTAATTTAGAACAAACAGAACAGGCTAGAGTAGAGTTAGAAAAGCAAATTGTAGCTAAAATGGCTGAGTTAGAAAAAATAATCCGCAGCCAAGCTTCAATAAACAACATTGAAGCTGAGAACACTACCTCGTCTTCATCTATAACTGACCCAAGCGCCATATTTGAACCCCAGTTTCACAAAACTATAGTAGCAAGACCCTGAAGCCACCCACGTTTGAAGGTCAGACGACATGAGAAACATATCGTCTCCAATTTGAAGCTGCAGGCTACTGCAGGGTGCTGCGTAACAATATTTTACAAAAAACCTTCCCCACACATGTGGTGCCCACTCTTGAGAATTGTTTTGAGGCATATTTTACAGTTACGAATTTATTCATATTTTTTATTAACAATATTATTGTAAAAACAATCTTGACCTCTAAAGTTTTTGTTACATATATTACAAAATAAGTTTTTTTTTGGATAGGACAAGGTGACGGCTGACGATATGCCGGACACTCCCTCTCACATTTGTGATCGTTCTCATTATTGGAGGGTATACATGGCATTTATCACAGAAATATCCACAACAAAAGGCAGCTGTTAATGAAATTATGACGTTGTAGTCAGGCATGGATTTACCACTAGGCCCACTAGGCCCGGGCCTAGGGGCGCACGGCTCCAAGGGGCGCACTGTCATAAAAAAAAATCGAAATTAATTTTTTTTAGTTTACAGTTAGTCACTTGTCGTTGTCGTGGGTCGTTGTTACTAGTCAAGTCACCCAAGTGCTTGGTTTTAAATATGTGCTTTGTTCACATGTTTTCTAATGCTGATTTGCGTTATCTTAGTGGTGCAGAGTTTAGAAAAACGCGCGAAGAAAAAGATGAGAAAAATAAAAAAGTTATTAAAAAATTTCCTAAAATAACTTTTTTTTCACGAAATGTTCGAAGTCAAGTTAGTAATGATGGTTACCGTGAAAATGTACAGGCTGTTTCCCATGCCGCTTCTAACAGTTCCAACGCCGAAGAAGTTGCTTTTGAACCCGATCTTGTACCAGAACTTCAAAATAAATCTGCTGATGCTGAAGACGGAGTTCATGTAAAACGTGGTAGAGGTAGTGCAGACTTTTTCAGTTCCAACCCGTCTTTATGGGATGTAAGTGATGAACTTAGAAATTATATTTGTACCCAAAGTAGTGTAAAGCAAAATAGTGACTCCGATTTTAATGAATCCAAAAGACCGTATCTAGATAAAATTCGCATCCTGTTTAAGAATTTGTTTACGAAAAAACTTCAAAATGGAGAAAAAAAAACCAGAGCGTGGATGGTTTATTCACCATCAAAAGGTTCCGTTTTCTGCGTTCCGTGTATGATATTTGACGAGTCGGATAACAAGGGCGCATTTACAAATGGTTTCAATGACTGGAAAATGCTAATCAACGTGTAAAAGACCATGAAAACCATTTTAACCATAAAAACCGTTTAGGAGAACTAAAAATTAGGAGTTCTTTGAAAGGGCGTGTTGATGTTGGACTTACCGAAGCTCTAGAACTTGAAGTCCACTATTGTAGAGAGGTACTTAAGAGAGTGGTGGCAGCTGTTAAATATTTAACTGTGCAAGGGTTGGCTCTCCGAGGATCTGATGAACACTTAGATAAACTTAACTGTGAAAACTTCATTGAACTTCTGAAATTTCTAGCCCAATTCGATCCTTTTCTGGTCGAACATTTACGTCAATACGGCGACCATGATTCGGGTAGTACGTCGGATATTTCGAAAACCACTTATAAAGAACTTATCGCCCTTATAGCAGAAGAAGTTGTGGCATTGTATTTTAGCATTATATTAGACTCCACGCCAAATATTTCACGTGTGGACCAACTTACCTTCGTAATTAGATATGTTGCTATTGATAGCATGCCGATAGAGATATTTATTTGTTTTGTGCCAAATGTTGGTCACAAAACAGAAGAGAAAGTAAACACAGTATTGGGCCTTTTTGAAAAATGTAATTTGGACATTTCCAATTGTAGAGGCCAATCATATGATAACGCCTCGAATATGTCAGGCATTTACTCTGGAGTTCAAGCTCGTATCAAACAGCTCAATGGCGGAGTATGTACCTTGTTCTGCGCATTCCTTAAACCTAGTAGGCTGGTGTGCAGCTGAATCATCCTTTTTTGGATTGCTCCAGGAGCTGTATAACTTTTTTAGCGCTTCGCCACATAGATGGACTATTTTGACAAGCAACTAAGCCTTAAAGTTGTAAAACCTTTCAAAGTCTCGGTGGTCTGCTCGTCACGACGCCTGCCGAGCTGTTGATGAAAGCAAAGAGGGTATTTTTAAAAGTTTAGATGAAATTGCTAGTGACTATGACGAAAGGCACTCCACAAAAAATGAAGCCAGGACTATAAATAAAAAGCTAAGTTCCCTAGAGACAACCATTATGGCAGCACTGTGGAGCTCAACTCTGGAAAGATTTAATAATAATAAAGTAAATGTAAAGCTGCAGTACGAAACCACAGAGCTAGGGAAAATAGTTGCCTATTATGACTCTTTGTGTGGTTTTCTTCAAGAAGTAAGGAACAACTTTGATGACCTGGAACGATCAGCGAATGAGAAGTGTAGGAAAGAGTATATGGCTAATAATCGGTGCAAAACAAAGGTACCTACTAAGTTTGGTGAATATGGTGGTCCTAGCAGTGATAATCAATTTACAGGGTCGGAAAACTTCCGTGTTAATACTTTTAACTGCATATTGGACTCCCTATACTCTGAAATTAAGGAACGTGAGTGTAAATATTCTGATCTTCACAATAGGTTTGATTTTCTTGAAACTATCAAAAGTCTTGAGGCATCTGATATCACCAAATGTGCAAGAAAACTATCAAGTGCGTATCATGAAGATCTTGAGCCTGTTGTTGTGGAGGAGTGTTTACATGTAAAAGCTTTTTTGTTGAAAAACTGAAAACGAAAATACCAGAACGAGTATGACTGAAATTAGCAAGGTTTTGTATAATTTTGACATGGTTGATGTCTCCCCTAATATGGCCATTGCGTTAAGAATAGTTCTTAGTGCTCCAGCCACTAACTGTTCAGCATAAAGATCCTTTTCCACCCTTCGTCGTGTGGAGAACTACCTGAGATCCACAACTAGCCACGACAGTTTGACATCACTAGCTCTGCTCGCCATCGAGGGGAGACTAACTCAATCGATTTCCTACGGTAGAAAAATTTGCTCGAAAGAAAGCAAGAAGTTTTTAAATATCTGTATTGTTCACATTTTATGTATTATATAGTTGTAGTTTTTATTTCTACATAAAACTGTTTGTTCACTTGGCTCAAAGAATTATTATTTTCATTTGATTGGCCCTGAATTCGAGGTTACTTGTAATATTAAATATTATTTACCTTTTTCAATTCTGTTTTGTGTTAACACTAAAAGGCGAAACCTGTAGTGCTAACACAAAAACAAAATTGGAAAAGGTTATTAATATTTAATATTAAAAATAATCAAAGAATTATCTTTAAATAAATGATTAGTTCGCTGTTAACAAGTATTCATTTGAATAAATTTTATTTCAGACAACAAAATCCTTCTATCAGTGTAATTTGGGGGGGGGGCGCCAAATTTATTCGGGCCTAAGGGCGCTGTAATGGTAAATCCGGCCCTGGTTGTAGTGCTGTTCGTAGTACATCAAATTAATTCTCTTATGCCCCCTCTACCATTTCATAAATTATACTCTTGTGTCCGTATTTATAAACAACTATGGTATAGTCTTGTAGATAGTCTTGTTGATATCCTTGAAATTTTTCTAATTCTGGTATATCTACACCTTTTTCAGTTATAGAGATATTCGCGGCTTCCATTAAATCTCGTCTATTTGGATTTGCTTATCTCGTTCACAAAAAATTGCCGTAGCTCTGAAAAAATCTATTTCATCTTCAAATACTTTACAATTATGTATGGAACTATTTATATGAGGATATGTGGCTACATAACCTACCACATATCCTAGACTCTTTTGGAACAAGACAAAAAACACAATAACTAACATTTTAAAATCTTGTTAAATTAACTTAATAGCAGAACTAATCATAAACAGACTGAATACCCTATATATACTAAATATACCTATTATATTCAAATATCGCCAATAAAAAAAAAAAAAAAATTAAAAAAGTGCAAATAAAAATTACAACAATGTTATACTCGTAAGTACAAGACCGTGCGCAAAAAATTTATATACTACACAATAATTGAACTGGATTATTTCGATTGTCTTAAAATAAAAATTTTAAAATGTTAAATTAATCGCACTGTATACTATTTATAGCCGACAATTGAACTGGTCAATAGCATTCTCAGCACATACTTTGATTTATTTTCTTTTACTATACGGAGAATGGTCGCACTGCGCAGCTTTCTGAGTGCCTTTTAAAAGGAGATAGCAAACTTTGCCATTTGAACCCTTATTACGTGTTGCCTACATCTTGGCGCAATATTTTTAATAGGTGCGTTTTAATCAGCCGCTTCTGCTTCGGAATTGTCGGTTTTCTTGTTTTAATCTGACAGGTTAAAACGACTAAACCGACAATTCCGGAAGCAGAAGCGGATGATTAAAACGCACCTGATATGTTGCTTGCTGCTATCAGTGTCAGTGAATATTATTTTTTAAGTCACAGTTTATTGCTAAATAATCAGTTAGCTCACTCGGACCAGTTGAAAGTTCCAAAATAACATCCACTCCAGGGATACAAATTCAGGATACGCAGAAGACTGCTGTTTTATTATAGGTGGTTGTCATATATTGTATTATCCGAGTTGTACAGTGTATAAACTGAAACATTGAGATCAAAAGTGCCGACGCAGAGTGAGCGATCTGATTCTTTAGCTGTAAACTGTGTCACAGGGTTCAAAATGGCCGCGCCCTATGTTGGGCGTGTCGGACCTCTCTCTTATAGTAATCAAAGTATGTGATTCTCAGACATTACAAATGGTTTATAAGTTGCAAAAAAAATGGGGCTATCCAAATATTTAAAATTTCTCAAAATATCCACTTCAATTTAAAATGGTACCGTCAAGCAATATTAATAGTGAAAAATTTTATCTTTTAAATTTAAAAAATGACATTCACAAAGTGTTTACACGTGCTAAAACTTAAACCTATTATTGATTTAATGATAACCCTCAACAAGCATTGATAAAACTATAGTTTAAAATTTAAAAATGTCCACGATAACAACATTGTTTCAAAAAATGCATGAACGAGTGCATAAGAGGTTTTTAAAAATGGTATATTAAATTAAATATGTAGTGCTAAATATTTCACGACTTACATAAAATAGGTATTTATAGTCCATAGAATTGGTACTTCTGGTTTTTTCATAAGTTGGTAGTGATGAAATAAGTAATGACAAATCCAAGTTTTCCATCTCGAAAGCTTTTCGGATAACAGTTAAATACTTGAAAATTCATTAAAATTTAGGAGTTGTTTTCCGTTTTTGTCAATTTTTACCACCAAGGACCTACGTTACGGCAAAAGTTGCTAGGACACTTTTTAAGTAGACCAAATTTACAATTAAATGAGAATAATTTGGTTTTGGTAGGGCAAATAATTTTTAAGATGTTTGCAAAATTTCAAAAAAAGGAAAGTTTTTTTTAGTTTTCTACAATTTTTATCCCTAAGCAGTGGGTTTATTGGAAAAGTTACTTTTTAAGTTATTAAAGTCTACTAAATTCCCAACAAAATGAGACCAATTATGTCAACTTATACCTGATAGTTCCTGAGACACAGCTGTTTAAAGTTGTATTTTATGTACAGTACAGTTAAGGAAATAGTTATTACTCACATTTTTACTGAGGCCCTTCCCATGGGGCCTCAGTATTGCATTCGTGCAGACGAAAAAATTTTCTTACCCCATTTTTTTAAACTTTTTTTCACGTTTCCGAAAATGCAAAAAAAAATTTTTTGTCTGATCGTCTGTATGCATGTATGCCGGCACGATAATTCGAGAACGAAAGTTCTGATTGACTTGCGGTTTTGATTTTCTTAAATAGTATCAAGTTGTCAATATGTGTGAATTGTTCTTGAATGTCAAATTTTTTAAAAATGTTTGTATCCTTCTTTTGATATTTATTTTTAACAATTGTTAACATATGTAATGTGTATGTAATTTAAAAATAATTACACAAGTCAATAATATAATTTTTTCTGGTTAATCGAATAATATAATTTTAGGTATTATGTTAAGGTAAGCCGGACATATTAGGCTCATCACTTTAACACATAGGTTATAGAACTCCGGTATAATTGTTATCCTTTTAGAAAAATAAGGTGAGATTGTGGTGGGACTACAGCTTGTGATTTCGGAGCTGTCATTTATTGCATTGATTTGTCGGTAATTATAACAAAAGAGCATAGCGCCGAAAAAGAGCCTTAAGCCACCCATATTACGTACGGAACCTCAATAGTAGGGCCTAAAAATGGTACTTTGCCCCACGTCTATGGACAGAAAAGCCTGATAGAGGCAGGATGGATCTTAAGAAAAGATACCCCAAAAGTGGGCCTAACGGGCATCTCCCTTTATATCAGGTGTTCTGTTGTCGTCCAAGTTATTGTTATATATGCAGTGCTGAGCTCAATCGTAAAATACGGTATTGGGATATCAGTGGAAAGGTGTTAGGCAAGATGAGTTTAAACTTCTCATTTACATATTTATATCCATATTCATATTTCGCCATACTCTTCGTGATACCGCTAAACTTCACTATATCAGACAATACGTAAGCAGGTATTATATTAGCAGTGTGTATGTTTGTGAAATATAAAGGGATAACAAATATGCTGTAGTACTGTCATCATACTTTCGCCAGTTCATGGGAGCTTATTGTCCCTTCGGTTAAAAATGAGACATGGAAAAGGCCACACATATGTTATGTTAAAATGAACAATCTTCCCGCTATAAGAAATAAGTTTAAATAAAACTATTTTTAATCTATTTTTGTGTTTACTTTTTTGTTCCTTCATTACAGCTACATTGGACTCTAAGCGAAATTTTGGGGTTCTACAAAAATCACTTCATGGGTATCTAATAGACTTATTTTAAGGCCAAGATTTTGAATATTTGTAAAACTAAGTTAGGACCCGGTTCTTCAGGTTAAAATATTTCGACAAAAAATATCTTAACAAATACTGATCATACTGTTGTTACCAAAGCAGAAACAAAGGTCTTTCGTACTAATTTTACCAAAAGAAAACGTGTTGATAATTACGATTCTGTACCTTACGGATATAAAAAACACAAATTTGAATCAGTTACTCAATAATTAAAAACTAACATTTTTTACAGTTATTTTCTTCTTTCCATTCCTATCCTTAAAGTCAAAAAGTAGGTAATTGTGTAGACTAAAGAGATATTTTAAAGAGGCAATACAAATATAAAAACAAAAAAAAACAAAAAACAAAAAAACAAAAAAAATAAAAAAGACTCATGTTTAACTTAAATTAAAAGAGGCAAATATAAAAAATATTTATAATAAAAATAAAAAAAGCAAAATAACAATATTATAGTAAAAGAGGCATTTTTGGTGACAGAACGTAAAGTTAATTATTGTTGTAAGATAAAAAACATAAATAAATATTTTTTTAGATTATATTATGTATCCTGGCGAACGTAAAAATGTAAGAATTATTTATCAAATAATAAATCATTATGAAAGCAATATTGATCACCTCGAAGTAGGTATTTGAAAGATTGAAATAAAACATTTACAAGTTCGTGATTATGGTGATAGCAATATCTGGCCGTATGCAATAAATTTAAACTGTATTAATCCTATATTTCTATTTTTAGTTTTCAAGTTTAAGACCATAACGATTATTATCTTTTACTCTTATCAAATAACAACAACTACGATATATAAATAATAGGCTATATTTCAACAAATTAACTGGCGTTTGATTT